CAAAGCCGAAAAGACCCAGGATGTCAGTCATATAGCCTTAATGTTGGATTCTGATTAGTGCCATGGGTCGGTATTGTGTCAAGCTTTCCCAAAAAAAAAAACAGGATCAGTGTAAATGATTGGGTGGGTCGGAATTGTGTTTTTTTTTTCTGAGGCCAATTTTTCAACATTTTCTTCGCTATGGGATTTTTTCATTTTATGAAAAATCTAGTTATAATTAATTAGTGAACGAACTAATCAACTAAATAATTGATTAATTAATGAATACTTGCAACATGTTTTTTTAACATACACAAAAAATAACTATAGTATGTTTGTTGTGGTGATATTCTATTAAGGTTGTGACCCATCAGCAAGATTGATCTTCAATAGTATGTTTGTTGTGGTGGTCCTCTATTGTGTCCAGCTCTTGTCTAAAGAAACATTTTTTTAAGGTTGTGACCCATCAGCAATATATAGGATGCCTTGTTAAAACGCAATGAAAAAACAGCACCCAAACAATTTTTCAAGGGGTTAGTCCATCGGCAACCCTGATCCTCAATAGTATGTTTTTTTTTGTGGTGGCCCTCTATTGTGTCAAGCTGTTGCCTGAGGTGGCAAATTTTCAAACATTCCTTTTACTCTTTTGCTTTTCTAAAGCTTTTTTCTTTTTACTTTCTTAGTTCCATTCTTTTGGAATTTTCAGAAATGTCCATTTTCCAAAAAAAAAATATGCCTGATTAAAGCCCAATTAAAAAACTGCACCCAAACAATTTTTCAAGGGGGTAGTCCATGAGCAACCCTGACCCTCAATAGTATGTTTGCTGTGGTGGTCTTCTATTGTGTCAAGCTGTTGCCTGAGGTGGCAAATTTTCAAACATTCCTTTTACTCTTTTCCTTTGCTAAAGTGTTTTTCTTTTACGTTCTTAGTTCCATTCTTTTGGAATTTTCAGAAATGTCCATTTTCCACCCAAAAAAAATCCCTGATTAAAGCCCAATTAAAGAACTGCACCCAAAGAACTTTTCAAGGGGTAGTCCATCAGCAACCCTGATCCTCAATAGTATGTTTGTTGTGGGGGTCCTCTATTGTGCCAAGCTGTTGCCTGAGGTGGCAAATTTTCAAACATTCCTTTTACCCTGTTCCTTTGCTAAAGCTTTTTTCTTTTACTTTCTTAGCTCCATTCTTGTGGAATCACCAGAAATGCCCAATTCCCCAAAATATATGATGCCTTGTTAAAACGCAATTTAAAAAAATAGCACCCAAACAATTTTTCAAGGGGTTAGTCCATGAGCAACCCTGATCCTCAATAGTATGTTTGCTGTGGTGGTCCTCTATTGTTTCAAACTGTTGTCTGAGGTGAAAATTTTCAAACATTCCTTTTACCTGTTTCCTTTGCTAAAGCTTTTCTTTTACTTAGCTCCATCTTCTGGGAATCACAATCAAAAGCTTTTTCCAAAGGATGAGCTTCAGTCAGCGAAAAAAATCCATGAATGACAATGATCTTCATTAGTATGTTTGTTGTGTGGGTCCTCTATTGTGTCCAGCTTTTAATTGAAATGTTTTTTTTACAAAATCATTATCTCATTTCCTTTGCTATGGCTTTTGTCTCTTACTTAGCCCAATTCTCCTGGCATCCTCTCCTTGGTTTCTATGGTGTTTCTATGGGGTGTTCAAAATAATCTATGGAAATTTTATGTAATTCCGATGGTGTTTTTTTTTAATGACACCCTATGGTGTTTCTAAAAGTGTATCTATGGTAGTTCTGTGGGGTTCTTATAATGTTTCTGTGGTATTTCTATGGGATTTCTTTGTGGTGTCCATGGTATTTCTTTTGGATTTCTATAGATTTTCTATGAGATTGCTATGGGATTTAAAATGGTTTCTATGATATTTCTAGAGGATTTCTTGAGGAATTCTATGGGATTTCCATGAAGTTTCTTTGGAAATTCTATGGTTGTTTTATGATATTCCTGTGGGATTTCTATCTGGTTCCTGTGGGATTTCTATGGTATTTCTATGGGGTTATTTCTATGGGGTGTCGATGGTACTTCTATGGGGTCCCAATGGGGTTTCAAAGGGATGCCTGTGGGATCTCCATAGTCCTATGTGATTTCTATTGTATTTCTATGGGATTTCTTCCGGGTTTCCATGATATTTCTTTTGGATTTCTATGATATTTCTAGGGGACTGATTTCTATGGGATTTCCATGGTGGTTTCTCTGGAATTTCAAAGGGATGTCTATGGGATTTCCATTGGATTTCTATCAAATTTCTAAGGGATCTGTATGGTATTTCTGTGATGTTTCTATGGGATTTCTCTGGGATTCCTATGGGATTCCTATGGCATTCCTATGGGGGGTTCCATGATGTTTCTATGATATTTCTATGGGAGTACTATGGGATGTCTGAGGGAATCCTATGGGATTCTTATTATGAGATTTCTTTGTTGTTCCTATGCTATTTCCATGTTACATCTATGGTCTTTCTATGGGATTTCTGTGGGGTTCCTATGGGATTTCCAGGATATTTCTATGATATTTCTGTTGGATTCCTATGATATTTCTATGAGATCCCTGTGTCGTTTTAAAAAATCTATGGTATTTCCTCTGATATTTCCCGAAGATTTCTTGAAGAATTCTGTGCGATTTCAATAAGGTTTCTTTGGAATTTCTATGCTGGTTCTATGGGATTTCTGTTGGATTCCTGTGGGATTCCCATGGTATTTCTATGATATTTCTTTGGGACTACTATTGGATTTCTATGGGATGTCGGTGGTATTTCTATGAAATTCCTACGGGGTTTCAAAAGGATGCCTTTTGGATTTCCATAGGATTCCTATGGGATTTCCATGAAGTTTCTATGATATTTCTAGAGGATTTCTATAGGATCTCTGAAGGGATGCCATGGGAATTCTATGGATTTCTGTGGTATTTCTATGATGTTTCTATGGGATTTCTTTGGGATTCCTATGGGGTTCCTATGGCATTCCTATGGGAATTCCATGATGTTTCTATGATATTTCTATGGGATTACTATGGGATGTCTGAAGGAAACCTGTGGGATTCTTATGAGATTTCTTTGTTGTTCCTATGCTATTTCCATGTTACATCTATGATCTTTCTATGGGATTTCTGTGGGATTCCTATAGGATTTCCATATTTCTATGGTCTAATTGCTCTGGGATGCCAATTGAAAGTAAGTTGAAATCAACTGAAAATGATTTTCAACCTAAATTGAAATCAATTGAAAATAAATTGAAAGTAAGTTGACATCATTTGAAAATCAATTGAACGTATTCCTAATCAATTGAAAATCAATTGAACATAGGTTGAAATCAATTGACAATTCATTGAACGTAAATTGAAAATAGAATTGAATCTATTGAGACTAACTTGAAATCAATTGAAATCAGTTGAAAATCAATTGAATGTAAATTGAAATCAATTGAAAATCCATTGAAAGTAACTAGTAATCACTTGAAAATCAATTGAAATCAATTGAAAGCAAATTGAATTCTATCAAAATCAATTGATAAATTCCTATTCAGACATATTCAGACCCATCTGCTTAAAATAAACACTTTGAAGTGAATCCAAAAATTGTTTTGGGGGGGCCCGACACTAATCAGGATCCAACATTACAAGTTTTGATGCGTAATCTCCGTCTTATGGCCACTGAGTATTGCATTTTCGCGGCGCGCATGTCGTCTGATGGCCATGGGGCAAAGCCGCAAAAAGAAAACCTACGATGTCAGTCTAAAAGTTACACGTTGTGGCGCGTAAGCTTCGTCTGATGTCCACTGGGCAAAGGCGAAAAAGCCAGGATGTCAGGCTATATAACCAAGCATGTTAGTCTCGGGCTTACATGTTTTAACGCGCTAACTAACTTTGTCTGATGGCTGAAAAAACCCAGGATGCCAGTCTCGTGTTTACATGTCGTGACGCGTAAATTCCGTCTGATGGCGACTAGGCAAAGCCGGAAAAGGCCAGGATGTCAGTCTAGCGTTTATATGTTTTGATACCTGATATCGCCTGATGGCCACTGGGCAAAGCCGAACAAGAACCAGGATGTCAGTAGTGTTTACAGGTTTTGACGCGTCAACTTCGTCGACTGGGCAAAGCCGGAAAAACCCACGATGTCAGTCTCGCGTTCGCATATTTTGACGCGTAAACTCCGTCTGATGGCGACTGGGCAAAGCCGCAAAAACCCAGGATGCTAGCTGAACACGCATCCAATACAGACCACGAGGTTTCTGGCACTGATAGTTCCCATGCTGGAGAGGCTTAAGGTGCTCATTGTTTTTCTCAAACCAATGTTTGTTGACTAGATGTGTTCTTGTGCTGTTAAGATTTGGTTTATCTTTACAGGTGTTTTGGAACAGTTTCGTAAGATTGTAGCTGGCACCGTTCTACAAAAACATGCGCTCATCATTGCCATAACAAGCTTGGCCCCCTAGTGGGGCATGTGTGTGTACACCCTTCTAACACAGGGCATGGTTGACTGCACATATTCAAACAACAATGCAGGGGAACTGGGTGCTCTGTGACTGACTCAGCTCAATGAATATAAGTCACAGAGTGGGACATCTGGATTGGCCATCCAGACGTACGAGTACCTGCTTTTAAATTCCACAATCTTTGACATAGCTCCCAGGCTAAGCTCAAACCTGGCT